GTAGAATGCTCTTGGACCTAAACCAAAGGATAAATGTCCACTTGAATCTCACAGCTCACAGCGCTGTTACCGGCAATTGCCATAGTACCACTATAAACATCACTGTTCCAGATGCTGTCTCGGTGCACATGCTCTGTAGGGATATTTTGTTATTAGCATCATTATTTACATTAATTCAGGGTCATTTTTATTTTCCTTAGCATTCTTCATCAACATATATTTTAGTATATAGAAAGTAGGCACTCACGTGAGACTTGATGAATGAAAGTCTGACTGGAATCCAGCTTGCTCCCAGATGTTCTTCTGTGCCAATATAATTACTGCAGAATCAGGCACAGCAGAATAGGTCAAAATTCAGTGTTGTTTTATTTTTCCAATATTACCTAAATTGAGCTTGATTTAATTTCTACTGTTTAGCATCAAATATTCCATCAAAAAGTGTCATGAATCCAAATTGCATTTCATTAAAACTATGTGATCTGAGACAAATGCAGTAATTCATTACTTTAATAGCCTCTTAAATGACACAAGGTTATAATTTCTGGTACAATGTAGTTAAGTGGCAAATTTCAACAGTGTTATTGATGACATTCAAAAACTGATAAAGGTCTAGAATATTCTAACAGGCTCAGTGAATTTTACTGATGCCTTGAGGGGGAGTTTAGCGCATAAGTAAATAAGTGAAATCAGTTTCTGAGTTTTCAGCATTAGGTAAGGTCAGTATAGAAATAGCTACTTGTCACATAAAAAATAAACAGAAACAAATACAAAGCAATTTACAGAACAGCTGCCATAATAGGTAAACTGGTATCTGGGAGGATCAAAGATATGGAAAAGCAAGCTCAGTTGCAGAAAGGTCCACAAGATCCCACCCTGTCAGGCGCTTCCTACACCACACCTGCCTCACCGCTCACTCACGTGAGCCATGTTTGTGCCTCAAATAATCTTAGGCGTTGATGACAGTGTAAACTCTTCAGGCACCTTTCTTCTGGATATGAAAGGTGGAAATTAGTGCTTAATAATTAGTGACCACCTGGTAAATCTTAGAGTTTTTAAATTATTCTAAAAGAAATGGCACCAAATGTCTGGATTGACTTTTTCTGATGTCGACTCATTTTTGCATCGGTTTCTGCTTCGGTGCCAGAGTCACTATTAAATAGATTACAAGCAGCACTAATAATAGCGCTTTCCGCTAGAGGCTGCTTCATCAAAGGTACAAAGTGTATGTTTTGATTAAAAAAAGAAGAGGACCCGTGTGTGTGTATGTCTGTGTGTGTGCGTGCATGTGTGTGTATGTGTGCGCGTGTGTGTGGACAGAGAGACGCAGTGGATTCAATTTGCTTAAAATGCGTGCATATTGCCAGGCTTATTCTGCTTTCAGATGTGGGTGCCAGGGGACAAACAGAACATTTACTCATCCACAGTTCACGTTCTCTTTCCAAAAACTGTGGCCAAAGGCTACCGGGAGAAAGAGCACAGGGGGAATGCTGAAGGGAGATGCGTTTAATGCGCTTGAAATCCAGTCCTCTGCAATGAATGATACGTCCGAAATAAAACATTGAGATCAGTTACATTAAAATTTGAATTTTAAATTGGATCTCAAGTTAAGTAGCGATGTTCTCCTGATAAAGAACAAAATCTAAAATAACCCTCGAAGTCCAGCAAAGCAAGAACAGAGGGGAAGTGACCCCGTTATTAGAGAGGATCACCCGTACACTGGACTCACGGTCCCCCAGCTGAGATAAAGGGCTAATGCTGAGAAAAGGGTGTCGATTGGGAACGTAAGAGCTTAAAATGAGACCTTTCCATTCTGATTTTACCAAGACTCTGAGAACCCTGTCGTTTAATGGAGCCTCACACTGCCTGGGAACTAAAAGCAGCGAAATGTCTTCCTGGCCAAGCAGGTTTCTCTTATCTCCTGTTCTACGCGATTAAAGCAGCAGAAGGAAGCTGCACCTTTCTGGGCCTCCGAGGCCAGGATTCTATGGTCAGGGCAGCCACTGCTCTGTCTTAGCGTTGCTTAGGCAGCTTGAAGCCTGACACTCATTGTGTGAAGGCTGTGGGGATTTGGGGGGGACAGCGGCAGGTGCGGCTTGGGAGTCAGGCCTGTCCCAGCAGGTGTGGGGACCCTCTCGGCACCTCGTGGCTGTTGCCCGTGAACCCCACTGCAGACTGCTGGGCACGTGTTTGAAGCAAACACACTACTTGCATTAACAGAGCCCTCCAGCACGCCGAGAAGGAGAGACTCTGAGGTGGCTCCAGAGTCATCCCAGGTGGCTCCAGAGTCATCCTCACTTCGCGGAGATCTGGAGGGACAGCAGCGCGAGGTGGGGTGCAATGAGCATAATGTTGGCTCTTGCCGCTTTTCCACACTGAAGGGAACGAGTGAACAGCAGTCTGGCTGAAGCGTGCGGTGTGTTGAAGACACAGGAACTCCTAAACGCTGCTACCCGCCGGGAGAAGCCGCCCCATCTGTGTTAAGAGCATTGACATACAAGCAACTCCTTGCTGGTCTGTTACACTCCTTGAAGCCGCTGCATTTTGCAGCTCACTCTATTCGAAGTTGTGACCGGGGGCTTCTTGGGGACGTTCAGACACACGCTGGCAGCCTGGGAGGGAGCAGGACTCGCAAAGGCGCCGTGCTTGCTCCGGGTTCCCAGAGAGCACCTCTGCCCTTGGAGAGACGTAGCATGCTGCTGCCTGGGCGCTGCTCCCCTTAGCATCAGACCAAGAAGGTGGGCTGCGCCCTGCGGCTGCGAGGATGCGAACCTGCACAGGGCGAGGGAGCCCCCAGTTCTACGTGCAGACGGGACGCAGCCGTCGGGCTGAGTGAAGGCACCGCTTCTCCCGCGGTGTCTTTTAAAGCCAATGTACTGCAATACAGTCTTCACGCCAGATTTTGAAGAGCAGAGAAGGAGTTTCTATTAAGGATTTCAAATGTGAAGAGACTTGCTTCCACTGTACATGGTTTGGGACAGTGAAACAGGAATCCGCCTGGGGCTGGCTGTGTCCCCGCCACTGTCGAGACACAGCTCAGCCACTGGAGGGCTAGGACAATTCTTTTCTTTTTATGTATCTAGAAATAGCTGAGAAGCTAGTTACTACAGAGAAATGTCAAGGCGATGGTAAAATAAGCCCAGGAAGGAAGGAGGTATTGCACAGACTGGACATACTGGAAGGGTCTTCTTGAATACTTGAAACACAGCCTAATATCCCCTTTTTGGTTTATTTTCACACCTCTATAATGTTCTAGTGTTTAGAGTCAGCCTTATGAATACGTGCACACTTCAAACTGGCTGATGAGAATTAATGTAGCCAAACCTGCAATGTTCTAAACGTGTTGTGTTGTGCTGGATAGACTATTGGGAGGAAATGGAGTCCTGAATGGGGGGTGGTGACATGTAAATAAATAATGTGGGCTTGTTCTGGGCTGCTATGCCATGGGGTGGGAAATGCTGACTTAGGGGTGAGGGGAGACAGGTGGGTTCATATCATCTTCGCAAATTTTCTGTACATCTACAGTTATGCCAGAGCAAATGTTTCACTTAAAATGACAGCAACTCAATCACACATTTCTATATCTCAGTAAAAGAATTGCAGCTATCCTTGTTTTTTAAAAAAAGATAATTTGTTGGAGACAAAATATTAATCAGCACTAAAACCATTTTGCGAAATTTTCTCCAAAAATAAGTGTTAAAATTACAGTTTATTTTTTGGTTTTGGTAAATTATGCATTCTTTTAATGGAAATGAAGAGTATATTAATTATGATGAGTCATTTTTATACTTTTATTGGCTTAGTAAATTGGATTTCCAATTTAATGCACTTTAGAATAGTTTCTGCATCCAGTGAATGATCCGCTGCGAGCCACAGGTGAAAAAACTGCTGTTCTACATGAAAATAGGCTGTCATTAGCTCTGATTCTAGAATTAAGATCATCTCTTTTGATGTTTCCCAAGTAGATGAAGTATCCCAGAGCTGGTTTCTTCAGGTCAGATCTCACCAGCCCGGGTAACGCCCGTGCTGCTTCCACTCAGTACCCAAGTTAAAGACCAGTGCATTTTGCCCCAGATAACCCACTCTACCCCTCAGATGCCAGAGACCCACCGTGTAGCCTCTGGATTGCGCATGGCCACCACACACACACTCACTGCCTGACAGAAATAAAGATTTAAAGTCCAGGAACTCTGTAGCCAAAAAATGAAGGAGCACATAGACTTTTACCGACAATAGTGTCTCAATTTGAAGTGTGACTGCCAGATATTTACTTAAAATCTGGATAGGGGAGTAGTCAGCTATGAGTTGGAAGCTTAAGGAAGTAGGGCATTATTATGAATGTTTTAACTAACCTGAGCCAAATTATAGTGATGTCACTAAAAATATAGATACAGGCTTGAAGCAGGAGAGAAAGGTGAAGTTGTTCAACTTGAAATTGTTAGATACAGGACAAAGCAGAATACAAACAGGAATACAAACCCCGTCCTCATTGTTCCAAGGAGGCCATTGTTCCAAGAATTCCTATAAAGGAATTCTTACAATACAATGGATATCATAGCAACCTCTGGGAAAGGAATCAGAGATGTCCAAGGCTCCATGCCCATCAACACGAGAATAATGGGATGTGCACACCAAAGGCTAGCACGCGCCATTTACAAGGTGGATATTCTACCATTTGCAACAGGTAAATGGTCCTGGGGGGCATTAAGCTACATGAAATAAACCAGAAACAGAAAGAAAATATTGTGTGATCTCACTTATAAGTAGACTCCTTTAAAAAAAAAAAAGATTTATTATTTATTCATACAGAACTGGGGTACAGGCCAGAGATGCGGAGGGTGAGTGGATTCACCAGAGACAGAGCAGGGAGCAGAACAGGCAGATTGACGAAGTACACTGCTGAGGGGAGTAGCAGGCGGGAGAGGTCTGCAGCGCCATGTGGTCACCTCCAGGGCAGGCGGGGATCGAACTCATGCAGAAGTGGCTTAAGCTTCTTAGCGCTGTGCTTAACCCGTTGCGCCACCAGGGAGGGCCACAAGTAGACTCCTTTTTAAGCCTAACTCGTGAAAACAGCATAGACAGCTGTCTGCCAGGGGCTGGGATCTGGACAGATGCTGGGCGAACTGTCCCCTCTTTCAGTCCTGTGATAGAAGGTCTGCGTGGGGCTGACGACACCAAATCGTGTGCTTGGAATTTGCCCGTAGATCTTAAAGACTCTTCATTGTCCACAACGAGAGATACCAGTGAGATGAAGTAGTTATTGTTGGACGGTAACAGTCGTCACTATGTATAGATGTGAAATCAGATCGCCACATTGTAGATCCTAAACAGATGCAGTTGTTGTCAATTGCTCCTTAACTGACCTGGAAAAATAAATGATTCCATGATCGGCGGTGTCAGTCAGGAGGCTGGTCAGGAGGCTGTCCTGCGCTCTGGAGTTGGGGCTGGATCTCAGTGTCTTCATGTTCTCATGGTAGCTCTGGCTCCAAGCACCACCAGACAGCATGTCTGATGTCCAGAAACTACTCAGTAAACACTTCATAAATTAATTTGGATTGGAGAGTTGTTCCTTCATGCGTCCTACATTCACCTAGAGACTATAATGTACTAGGAGTTGATTCATCATTAAATGATACGTGTGTGCCTTCAGGGGAGAGATAAGCAGGACCAAAAAAGTAAATGTATAGAAACAGGATAGTTGTTTGTTCCCAGTCTATACAGACCCAGTTTTTAAAATTGCTTTCTGAGGTCTACCCGTCCATCTCTCGTACATATACATGGTTCACACATGATACGGTGACAGAGGGAGCATTGTGGGGTTATAATGATGCAAGAAAAAGAATTAGTTAACTTAAAACAGACAAGACTCTGTGGGGCCTTGAGAGTCTCTGATTCCCAGCTACATTACAATATAATATCCATTTTATTATTATAATTCCTATCTCTGTTAAGAAGAGACTTACAGTCACAGGGACACCTGTGGTCCCTGTTGGGGTGGTCTATTTTTTTTTTTTAACTTCTAGAAATATTAGATAGCAAACATGCAGTAACACACAGAATTTCTGGAAGAGTTTACCGAGCAACCACAAGAAAGTGGTCAATATTGAGCTTGCTTTTGAAATACCAGAGAGTACACACCTGTGGATACGAATAAACTATGTGATGTTAAGATCCAGACATAAGTACTCCACAAAGGAAACTTGTGTCTTCTACTAACCCCAGTTTAAAATATAGCTCCATTCTTCTCCTGAGGTTTGAGGAACTTATTCAGTCTTTAAAGATTTCCCCTGCGTAGGAAATGCAAAGAGTTTTGGAATACAGAGAGCCCATGAAATTTGTGAATGAGTGTGAAGTCGGGGGAGATTCCTAATTATCACATTTATGCCAGCTCCTGTGTGTTCCTCTTCGGAAATCTGCTGCAAGTCGGGCTGAGTCTAAATGCTAACTGGCTGAGTCCTGTTCTAGTTTCCCGGCACCGTTACAAACCATTACACACTTGGTGGCTTATAACAACGCGAGAGTCTTCTCGCACAGACAGAGGCTGGAAGTCTGAAATCCAGATGTTGCCGAGCGTGGCTTCATCCGGAGACTGTGGAGAAGCCATTCCAGACCTCACGCCTGGTTTCTGGGGGCCCCAGAAGGCCATGGCTGGGGAGTCGTGTTTCCCTCTGTCTCCTCCCATCTTACCTATCTCCCCGCCAGGGCCACCTCGTCCTGGAAGGAGGCAGTGCCTGGAATGAGACTCTTGTCCAGGGTGATATCATGATCCCCGCTAAGAACCTGAATCCAGAGAGGCCACGCTTTGTGGTTGGCGGTGGCTGTCCACTGGAGGCGTGTTATCTGGGCACACAACTGGCACAGACAGGTATTTCTTGGGCAGTGAATGATAGTGCCAGCTGTTGTTCCTGTAACAACATCCTATACCTCTTTCTTAATCTTCCTTCCACTGGTGTTATTTTTCTTCTAGACTTATTAGTCAAATTAATTTGAAGCAGTAATATGCTTTTTCAAATGCCTTCCTCGTGGCCAGGGGGACGCTTAGTAAAGGCATCATAGCAAATAGCAATCCATTAGTATTTATTATTGTTTTAATTAAAACAGCCCTTTCTCTGAATCTCAGAAGTAATTACTTATGGTACTGCTTCTCAATTTTATTAGCATAATGTATGGTTCATCAGAAAAGAATAGACAAAAATAAATGTTATTTATGTTAGATAACTTATGCAGAGTATCTTGAGTAATTGAATTGCAATTATTATGTATAAGAACATGTACTCAAATGTAAAAGCTTGAACTAGGGAAAAAATGATGTATTTGATTCTAGAACAAAGGCGACATAAAAATAGACCATCTCTAACCTCAGTTTGACATCAACAGTTTAATGAAGCTAAATTTTATTCTGACCTGATGCTAAATTTTATACTTAAAATAACATTGACTCGCTCTATTAACTTGTTTCTCTACTTAGGGGCACCCCGTCTTTGAATGAGAGCCTCCATGTCACAACAAATTTACAGAAAGTACAGCCTCTTGTGCTTGCATGAGTGCCGAATGGATGTGTCTATTCCATCTTAAGAGAATGTTACCTCCTTATCTTTTAAAAGTCACTGTCATAAAAATTATACAAATACTCAATGTTGCATTTTAGTGAACTGGGTGAAATTAGCTGTATGGTAAGTAAACATTCTGAAGTTTTCTGGTTTTTGTCCTTTTAAATATCCAGTCCGTTCATAACCAGGTACACATAAGTAATGTAATAAGAAGCCTGCCTGAAGGCCACTGTGCCATAGCAATGGACAGAATCAACATACTTGGAAATAAGCCTCTCTTAGGGGAAATGTTATTACATGTACTTGCTATATTGAAAAATATCTGAAATGGCTATCAATTTCAATAGGCGTCGGTCTGTCCAAACTTACATTCTCATCCTCATGAATGCACGCCGTGTCCCCAGTGCCGAATAATGCCAAGGACATTATTGAATTCAATTATTGATGTTTATCTAGTAGCCTTTTTGGCAAACACTCAGTAAGTTGTAAAGTGGCTGTTATGTTTGGAGATAAAGAGTGCAAGATTCACTTCATATTCTGATAATGTTTGCTATTGTTGTTAAGACTGTGCTGTTTCCATAGTTACAGCATGAAGCGCAAAGATCCTCTCCTTTTCTTTGTAATAGAAGAAAGGATAAATTTATTATATTTTGATAGGGTATAACATTCACCAAATAGACTACCATATAGTTTTTATTTTACTACCAGACCCCACTCTATCATGCATGAAATTTGAGCAAGAATTTTTGATACTGAATACAAATAACAATGTTTAATGTTTAGAGGCTCCTCTCAAAACAAACTGAAGGACAGTGAGGGAAATAAAATAATCTTTAGCTTAGGTGATTTTGTGACATTACCAGTTATGTAATTTCATTTTAAATCACAGCACTGTAAGGGACCCATTTGTTTATCCCAATCAACACTTGAAAATTAGGAGACAGTTTGTAGTTTTTTCAATGAATGGAAACTGTCTTGACTGCATTTCAAAGCAACTGGGAACTCTAAGGCTTGACAAGTTTTTGCAAGGCAGTCTTCCTCCCCTCCCCCATTCTCAGGCCTCCGGGAGAGATGTCCACTGTCCCCTCTTCACCTACCGCGGTTTATCATGATTATGTCACTTACCATTTTCAGTGCTTGCTTTTTGCATTCAGAAGGCAAAGTTGGCACAAGAGAATGCTTGGCTCCCCTAGGTGAGATGTGACGTGAGGAAGACAGGATGATGTGAGGGAGAAAGACACATCCTCATCCTCCCAAAGGACCCTGAAAAAAAGCAGGATTGATCTCCTTTTGGGCTGCTTGCTTACTTTAATTAATTCTTCAATTAGAGAAGCATGCATAAAAAGCTAGCAGACGCAGGGAAGAAAGCACTGCAGCCCAGTGCTGACTGCTGGCAAACTTTTCTCTTGAACTTCTGAGTTCCATTTGTTGGTGCAGTTTCGGAGTCAGCTGAAAACATTTGGAGCAATGAAGGGCTTTGCAGAAGAACTGAACCAGCCAGTTCTCCACAAACCATCCACTCCCCACCCTGCCTGGCTCAGCCCCTTGCTTCCCTACACCAGTACCGTCACACCGCACATTCGGAGGGGCAGCTGCTACCCGATTGTTCTTTAATGAAAAAGAAATATGGTCTCCATGTACTGCTTTCACTCCCTTGAGGTAAAGAGACTTTGCTCTCAATTTTAACCAAACGCTATTATCAATATCCCTTGGAAATTCTACTTAATTAGAAAGCTCTGGTCGTAAACACTGCCAAATAAAAACTTGGGTAGGCTTTTCAATTAACTATGTTTAATTAGGATTATATAATATGAAGTTGATGTCCTTTTGTTGTTGATGTGCATCAAAGAGGTTTTGGCTTGATCAAAATAAAGAGAACATTAAAAAGTAATGGGCACCACAGGGCAAATTGCGCGTCTTCCCAAGTGCCTAACTCACCTCCCCGACACACAAACACCAGAGCATCTTGCCCCGGGTGCCTGGACGCGTCCAGCCTAGAAGCGGGGGGCTCCCCTCTGCCACCAGCACGGACCCCTATTACCAGAACGTTCTGCTGGCTCTGGCTTGAAAGCAAACACGGAAACAGAAAACCTGGCAAGTCAATCATGTGACCCGTGAGTTTTACATCTTCGGGTCAAAAAGATAAAAATACCCCACTGGCTTCCCTAGCAATGCTGCGCCCAGAGCTGCCTTTAAAAGGGAAGAAACAGGTGCCATCGGGTCCTTCTCTACGGGGTCACAGGAAGGCTGTGGAGCCACTGACCCGCTGAGAGCCACCCGGTGGAAGCAGCTTCTCTCCCGCAGCTGGTGAGGCTGACCCAGCGGGAGAGATCCGCCTGGCCGCCTGGTGTGACACAGGAGTGTGTGGGATGGGTACTGGGGGACCTTGCACCCCGGAAGCGTGGCTCTTCTACCTTGTTCAGACTCTAGCGGGAGAGCAGAGGCCGTGTTTTTAGCTGGAGGCTCCCAGCGGTGCTTATGCTCCCTGGCGCCGGCCCGTGAATGGGCCTTTCACAGACAAGGAGAAGCCAGCTCAGGCCTGAGCTCCAGTCGCCAGACTGCAGCGGGCTCTTAATGAGCCTCAAACCAGTTGGGCAGGTGACGGTCAGAGTCGACCTTCTCTGGAATAGAAACCAGAGTGCCAGTGCCATCAGGGCATTAGGCAGGGACTGGTAACTGTAGAGAGCAGCCCGAGACACTGAGCAGGACTGGTTGGAGGAGTGGCCCGAGCAGCGAGCTTGGGGCCAGGCTTCCTCCCAGGGGCTAAGGCAGCTAGCGAGCGCCCCTTCCTGAGGCTGAAGCTTGGGCATTGGCAGCCGACGACGGCCTCTTCTGTGAGGAAACAGGAAATACCAGGGTAAGCAGAGCAGTGGCCTCGCGTGAAGTTGAGGCTGTGATTTTCTGCCTCGAAGCTGGGGCTGCTGCCGCTCCTGGGGTTCCTCCCCAGGCCCCCGCAAGCCTTTCCACAGGGACCAGAAGGGTCAGTGTGGCCATGAAACAGGGTCTGGACCTTCCGGCAGACAGGCAGAGTTTTTCTGCAAAGGATTAGGTAGCAGATACCGCCCAGCTTGCGAGTCGGCTGAGCGCTGGGACACGGTCTTCAATTACTGGCAGTTGTTCAGATAAAACCTTCATCCTGGTAGGATATTTGTCAAAATAGTAACAACAGTTCTGCCCTATGATTCAGCCACTGCACAGACACTAAATTGAAAGGGTTCGTGTCTCTGGGGCACCGTAGCCAAGTTACGGACACGACCTAAGAGCTCAAGGACAGGTGAGTGGAGTGAGAAAAGGCGCCACACACACGCAGGGCGGCCACGGCTCAGCTGTAAAATCATGTGAAATCTTGCATTTGCATCACTGTGGGTGAAATGCAAGGGATTATGCTGAGCCAATTAAATCAGAAGGAGGAAAGCAATGGGGAGATTTGATGCCTATGTGGAATATAAAGAAACAAAGCCCAGCCTGGGCAAACTGAAGCAAAACAAATTCTAGACATCTTATTGCAGAATTGGGGCCACAGAAAGGAAGGACCCCGACACCCGGGGATGGAAGGGGGAGGGGCCCTTGGGCTGGGGTGGACCATGAGGGCTCCGAGCTCGGCCCCCTGTGGTGATGTGCACCCGAAGAGGCTGAGCCTGTTCCCTAATCACATACTGTGCTGTAAACCAATAGTATGTGGTCAAAAATACACCGTTTATACATCGGTAGTTAAGAACACAGGACATATAAACAAACCGTTCTTAACTGAGGGGCCAGCTGAGGCAGTTGTGGTCTTGACTGGCTCCAGGGGGTCCGGCCCTTTGCCCCTGACTGAGGGGTGCATTAGGGGCTCTGCCGCCCCACTCAGGGTGCCAGCTGAGGCGCAGCGCAGGTTCCGGGCTCCGTGCGGCGGGGAGGGCTTCTGTCCCGGCGAGCCACCGCGGGGCCATGACAAGGCTGCGACTGCAGAGACTGTCACCAACGCGGCCGGGCGGGAGGGGCCAGCCTCAACTGTTCTGATCGCCCCCTTCACTTTCCTCAGCTGAACTGTGCCCACCCAGAATGGTTTTGTTGAGGCGCCCCCTGGGCTCACGCGACATGCCGGCCGCTCAGGCAGGCAGGTCGCTGCGGGTGGAAGTAGCTAACTTGGAAAATGGACGGACCCTGGGGGCTTGGCCTGGCGCGCAGCGGGGCCTGCTTTTTTCTGTTTTCTGGGAAACACCCTCTTGTCATTCACGGTCTCGCCAGGTATTGGAAATGTCTTAGGGAACAGTGAGGGGAACATAAGAGGTCAAAATTAGTTGACTCTGTCCTTCATTTTTCTTCAGTTTAAATCTTTGCTAAAAGAAGCAAACGGGTTAGGACGCCCCACTGCAAGCCGGCTGCAGCTGCTTCAGCGCCGGCTCATCAGCCATGTGAGCAAAGTCCTGAGGCAAACAGCCCTGACTCCCACAGCAGGCAGGGCTTGGACCCTGAGCTCCAGCCGAAGAGCAGCGGAAATGGTGCCATCCTGCCACCCTGGCTTCATGTGGCCTCAGGCCCACCCCCGACAGGCATGTCGCCCACCTGTTTAACACACCAGCTGGCTGTTTCTCAGTTACCCTATAATCCTGGAGCAATGTGTTTTTCTTTTCCCTCTGATATATATATATATATATTTAAGATTTTTATTTATTTGTACATACAGAACTGGGGTACAGGCCAGAGGCTCAGGGGCGGCAAGAGGCTTCACCAGAGACAGAGTGGGGAGCAGAACAGGCAGATCAACGAAGCACACTGCTGAGGGGAGCAGCGGGCGGGTCAGGAGAGGTCTGCTGTGCCCTGTGGTCACCTCCGGGGCAGGCGGGGATCAAACTCATGCGGAAGTGGCTTTAGCTTCTTAGTGCTGTGCTTTAACCCGCTGCACCACCAGGGAGGGGAGGGCCCACCCTCTGATATTTTTTAAGCAAAGTGTTGAATTGTTAGAACTTAATAATCCCTCTAAAAATGATCTTCCCTCTTTCATTTGTTTTCTCCAAATGGGGTTCTCAGTGATGGGCAAGAACTGGAGTACAGGCTAGAGGTGCAGAGGAGTGAGAGGAGTCGCCAGAGACAGAGTGGGGAGCAGAACAGGCAGGTTGACTAAAGCGCACTGCAGGGGAGCAGCGGGCGGGTCACAGAGGTCTGCAGGGACAGGTGGGTCACCGCCTGGCTGGGGTTGGACCTCTGCTGCAGTGGCTGCAGCCAGCTTCAGAGCCCGCACTTTAACCCATGGTGCCACCAGGGACGCCCTGAGCTCAAATTCAGCATTGTAGAGGAGCGGGTTTTTCTTTCAAGCACCTCTCTCCATGTGTATGTTGTTATCATTTTGAGTTTATGTGCCTAAAATAAAAAAAATGTGAGTCAAAGATATATGTATACTAAGAGTACATTATAAAAATTCCTTATTGCTACGGGTAACAAGAAAAATGTTTCTATCTTTAAAATAATGTATAGATTTTCTAAGGGGAGACACATGCTTCATTCCAAATGATAGGTTGGTACTTGAAAGTAAATTCTAAATAGATAAATTTCCACACATGAATATCCGTTTTTTATCTATCTATCATCTATCTATATCTACCAATTAATTAATCTATGTATCATGTATCTATCCGATCCATCCATCTTCCTGTCATCCATCCATTATCTATCTAGCCATCTAGTCTATTTTCACTTATTGAATATTTTCCCCTTTTTTGAGTAGCACAATTATGCGTCTTTCATCCTTTTTAAAAGCGGTGATGACTCATGTTCCCACCTAGTTAGCTGGCCTGTGCAAACATGTCCTGACTGTGTAAGGGCTGAGTATAACCCCTGCCTCTTCACGAGTTCCTCTCACCTACTCCTACTCCTTTGCAAATCTACTCTTTGTTTACTCAACACAGAATCTTCCTAAAAAGAAAAGAAAAAAAAAACTATAAAGGAAGCAGTTTAGATAAGAGCTTTAATTTTCCCTTAGATGGCTTTTTGATTTAGAAAGTAATTTTTGAGAAACTGAAAAAAAGAAACAAACACTCATAAGATGGTTATTTGACTACACAAAGATGAACAACTAATATCTTAGTCTATTTGACTATGCCCTGAATTCTCTAGAACTCTCCCTAACAGGTATTCTGGGTGTCTACCGCTGAAACAGCCATCACCAACCTCTGCTCTACTGTTAGAACAAGATTTTTGTACTGAATAGAGACTTGCAGTAGAATTTCCATGGTTGCTCTATGAATGTCCTGAGGAATATCTCAACTTTGGAAATATAAATG